CAGTCCAACCAGCAAAATGCACCCACGCCCCACCCCAGTGCAGCCAGAAACTTGAATCAGGCCCCTTCCCAGTCCAGCTTCCCAGTGCAGCCAGCAAACTGCAATCTGGCCCCTTCCCAGTGCAGCGTCCCAGTGCAGGCATCAAACTGCAATCAGGCCCCTTCCCAGTGCAGCGTTCCACCACCAGCAAAACCCGCAAAATCCACTTTATTCGTAGAAGTTGTAGGCATTACTGGTAAGGCTGGTGCTGGTTGCCCTAATTGCCCATGAACAGATTGGTTCTCCAGGTCATTTTATGGGGCAGATAGGAGTTGACCACATTGCTGTGGGGTTGAAGTCACATGTAGGTTAGACCAGTTAAAGCCAGCAGCCTTCCTCCCTGAAAGACACTAGTGAAGATGATGTGTTTTTACAGCAATCAATAATGATTATCATTAGACCATCTTTTAATTCCAAATTGTATTGAGTTCTCTTACCATCTGCCACAGTGGGATAATGAACTTCTCCCCCCTCCCCCAGAACATACATTTCTGGATTGCTGGACCAGTGATATTCCCACTACATCGCTGCCTTCCCAGAGAGATAAAACAGTACTTTGCTGAGCATGAAGAGAACAGGTCCGAGAGAATAGTAAATACATGACAAAGGTGGGATCAAAGGAAGGAAAGGTATCGGACAGAGGTGGAGTGGAGGAAAGATCCAGAGGGGCAACCAGATTCCTCTGTGACTAACCACCCTTCATTTCAATTTCATTACCTCTCTCTCCAGTGAATCTGGTCAACCTTCTCCATCCCCACTCAATCCCTAAAAAACATACCAATTTACCTGGAATTTAACATGAGGAGACTCGTCTGGAACATTCCAACTTGTCTGCAATGACCAGACATCCCAATCTGACCTAGTGCCATTTGCCAGTATTTGGCCCATATCCCTCTAAAGACTTTCTATTCATGTACCCAGATAGTATCCCAGATGCAAGTATCTATGCTGGTGCCTGGAAGTGAGGAAGAATGTGCCACAGATAGTGAGTTTGCGTGGGTGGAAGCAGAACAACTTGTTCCTTATCAACCCAATCATAACGCACCAGGAATAAATCTCTTTCCAGCTGCTGCTTCTCATCTCCAGCATCCTCTGCCCCGGTGGATAAGGTAAAATCACCACGTATTCCTACTTTTTTTTATTAGACAAGAAACAACTCATGGTGAGTTTGACATGAGGATCACCTCACCTCTGGCAAGGGGCAATGTTGACATCTTCATGGGTAACATCAGCCAGTGCAAGAATATAAACCTCCATTGTTAGCGTCACTCTGTGTCATAAACCAGCTGTCCAGCCAACCGAGCTAACCAACTGCCAATATGGCAGGAAAGGAAAGAAGCAGCTAAGACAAGGTGAGTAATGAACAGAAAAAGGCTGGAGGCTTTTGGTTGTGGGGTTTCACAGGGATTCAGGGGTGACACTATCCTGTTAGCAGCAGGATAACACAAACCACATCTCACATCAAAAGCTAAATGTCTCCTCTGTGAGGGGATCAAAGGTGGGAGTGAAGGGATATTAGAATTGTGCATAAACATTCCAGTCAGTTGGGATTGGGAAGTTAAAGTCCTAAAATCTGAAATTAGGAGTCAGATATTGACCATGAAATCATTGTCAATTGTCAGAAAAACCCATCTGGTTCATGAATATCCTTCAGGGAAGGAAACCGCCATCCTTACCAGGTGTGGACTACATGTGAGTCCAGACCCACAGCAATGTGGTTGACTCTGGCCTAGACATTGACACCCTCATTGCGTGAATGAGTGTTAAAAAACCTGTGATAGAGCCCTCATAGCCAGACTGCATGTGAGTTGTGAGATGTACAAGTGTTACTTTAAAAGGATGTCAGACCACATTTAGACTATTGTGTTCAGCGCCGGGCACCGTTATTCAAAGAAAGATGTTAAAGCCCTGGAGAGAGTGCAAAGGAGATTTACTAGAATAATACCAGGAATGAGGGCTTTTAGACACAAGGAAAGATTAGAGAAATTGTGCTTATTTTCCTTGGAGCAGAGAAGACTAAGAGATGACCTTATTGGGGTGTTTAAAATATTGAACAATTTTGACAGGGTAAAGAAGGATATTCTGTTTCTATAAGTTGGTATTTTAGTAACTGTGGGTTACAATTTCAAGATTATCTGCAAGACAGCTAGGAGTGAGATGTGGAAAAAATTCTTTACTCAGAGAGTTGCTAGTATTTGGAATCCACTGCTTGGGAGAGTAGTGGCGACAGACTTCATATGAGGCTTTAAAAGAGAGATGGATATATATATATACATATATATCCAGCCAATCTGGGATAGTGGAGGGAACTTGTGTACGGAGGTAGGGGAGGTCCTTAATGAATACTTTGCTTCAGTATTCACCAGTCAGAGGGGCCTTGATGTTTGTGAGGACAGCATGAAACAGGCAGATATGCTCAAACAGGTTGATAGTAGGAAGGAGGATGTGCTAGAAATTTTGAAAAACATGAAGATAAATAAGTCCCTTGGGCCAGACAGGATATACCCAAGGTTATTATGGGAAGCGAGGGAAGAGATTGCTGCCCCTTTGGCAATGATCTTTGCGTCCTCACTGCCCACTGGAGTAGTACCAGATGATTGGAGGGTGGCAAATGTCATTCCCTTGTTCAAGAAAGGGAATAGGGATAATCCTGGGAATTATAGACCAGTCAGTCTTACTTCTGTGGTGGGCAAATTATTGGAGAGGATTCTGAGAGCTAGTATTTACAATTATTTGGAAAAGCACAGTTTGATTAGAAATAGTCAGCATGGCTTTGTGAGGGGTAGGTCATGCCTCACAAGCCTTATTGAATTCTTTGAGGACATGACAAAACACATCGATGAAGGCAGAGCATTGGATGTGGTGTATATGGATTTTAGCATGGCATTTGATAAGGTTGCCAATGGTAGGCTCAATCAGAAAGTAAGGAGGCATGGGATTCAGGGAAATCTGGCTGTCTGGATACAGAATTGGCAGTCCAATAGAAGACAGAGGGTGGTAGCAGATGGAAAGTATTCAGTCTGGAGCTCGGTGACCAGTGGTGTCCTGCAGGGATCTGTTCTGGGATCTCTGCTCTTCATGATCTTTATAAATGACTTGGATGAGGAAGTGGAAGGGTGGGTTAGTAAGTTTGCCGATGACACGAAGGTTAGTGGAGTTGGGCACAGTGTGGAGGGCTGTTGTAGGTTGCAACAGGACATTGACAGGATGCAGAGCTGGGTAAAGAGGTGGCAGATGGAATTCAACCCAGAAAAGTGTGAAGTGATTCATTTTGAAAGGTCAAATTTGAATGCAGAATACAAGGTTAATGGTAGGATTCTCGGCAGTGTGGAGGAACAGAGGGATCTTGGGGTCCACATCCATGGATGCCTCAAAGTTGCTATCTAAGTTGATAGGGTTGTGAAGAAGGTGTAAGATGTGTTCGCTTTCATTGGCAGGGGAATTGAGTTTAACAGCCACGAGGTTATGCTGCAGCTCTATAAAACTCTGGTTAGACCACACTTGGAATATTGTATTCAGTTCTGGTCACCCCATTATAGGAAAGATATGGAAGCTTTAGAGAGGTTGCAGAGGAGATTTACCAGGATGCTGCCTGGACAGGAGTGCAGGCCTTACGAGGAAAGGTTGAGGGAGCTGGGTTTTTTTCATTGAAGTGAAGAAGGACGAGCGGTGACTTGATAGAGGTGTACAAGATGATGAGAGACATAGATAGAGTGGATAGTCAGA